AAAGGGCTCCAGAAGAAGGGTTACGGGTTTTAGTGGGTCGGGCTGGCAGTGGGTCGCCAGTTTATTAGGTTTACTATTTTATATATTTATTTTTCTTTTTTTATCTCCTTTTGTTTTATCACACCAACCCCACATAACCTTGGAGTGCGGAATCCAAGGTATCTGTAGGCAGATTTCCCAAAAGTCCCTAAGCAAAAAAAAAAAAATAATAATAATAATCCCCGCCGATGGTTGTCCACTACCGAACATCATCGATGTCTTCGACGTGCTGGGAGAAGCGGATCCACTGCCAAATGTCATTGATTTCTTTGATGTACTGGGAGAAGTGGACCCACTGCCGAACATCATTGATTTCTTTGATGGGCTGGGAGAAGTGGGTCCGCTGCCAGACATGATTGATTTCTTTGATGAGTTGGGAGAAGTGGCTTCGCTGCCAGACACGACTGGCATCTTGGATATGTTCGGTAGACCTTGCCGTGGTGGCGGGGCTTTTCACTAAAGGACAACCAACTCCCGACGGTGTCTCTTCGAACACCGCCGCAGGCCCCACGGATTTTTGGGGGGGGCCAAAACAATAATCAGCCGATAATATATGAGACAAATGTCTCAGACCAGTTCGTGGCTATTCCGGGAATCTTCAAAAGCTTGCGCCAGGGATTCAAGCGCCAAAAGAACGTCAGTCGGGAAATCCAAGATGGCGTGACGGTTTTGGAAGGTGCGTTATAAATATATTCAATAGTTGAAACTTTAGTTTATTTCACAGTATATTCTATTTTAATAAAATTTAATAATTAAATTACAACTACTCTAAGTATTGAGAAATTGTTACTAGTGCCACCAACCGTGTTTTGAGCGCGGCTATTTTTCTGCACACCTCTGTTATCGACACTATACACTTTCACTTTATAATAGAATACAAAATTATTGCTTTAATTTACGTTTTTTTTGTTAATATGCAGTAATTAACAAAACTATATAATAAATCAATTACTTTAAATATTAAAGAATATATATTCGCTCTTTTTCTTGACGTTTTAAACTAATTTTCATCGACAATTTGTGAATTTTGCACACTATTTCAACTGACAGATTAACACAAAATATTTTAAATCTTAATTATTCCATAATTACGGTTTCATTAAACATAATTTTCACCCAAATCAATTAAATAATGCACACCGTGCAGGAAGACGAATATTATCAACTTTCTTTGTGGCAACTTTCTGTTATTATTTTATGATTCTACAAACCTTCCTGATGAAAATGCTACTTTGACCAAAATCGTAAGAGCTAATTTATCGAAAATAAATGAATATGAATGACTTTTATTTTAATAAGATTGCGTAAAAATGTATTTTAATTATATTTACTATTTGTACTTTGCAAAAGGTTATTTTCTTTATTTTAATTACAAAAAACTTACCAAATTTTACAGATTTAAAGATGAAAATGAAATGACAGCGGACTTTAGTTGATTAATGTAGGATGGATTATCAAAGGAAGACACTTTTCGGCGATTCCAGTGAATTAAAAACTCATGATGGATCGATTCGCCGGCTTGTTCAGACCAATTTCCCAGTCCATCTCCATCCAAAAAATTGACACAGTCCATAAAATGATCTAGCAGAACATGGATTTTTAAGGTCTTCGAAATTTCCGTTGCTGGTAGAATTTTGTTTAATTTATTTAAATTTTGAACAGTTTCTGGTTCGATTTTCTTTGTTGAAAAGCAGTTGCCAACTATCTTATCCATAGCTTTAAAAGCGTTGATGAATGGTAATACACGTAGCTCACCAACTTCGCCACATATGTCCTTGTCCTTAAGCATATCAGCCGATTTAAGCAGAACACGACAGGCGTTACCTTCAAATTGGCGTCCATGGTAATTTTTAGTAACAAGGTTAAGTTTTTTCGGCCATAATAGTGCCACTGGTTCTGTTAAGATGGGTACGAGTCCATCCCAAAACAAATGATTAACAAAGCCCAGAAGAACATGTAATTCGGGTATAATGCATTTCTCAAGAACGCATACATCATCAGCTTCGGTGAGAAGAGGCAGATTTACAGTGCTGTGGCACTCAGGAGCAAATTTTTTAACTTTCTTCATACTCTCAAATTTATAAAAGTCTTTTCTCAAATCTCCGTATGTTTTAAGAGAAACCGATTTTTCGCAATCTGCATTTTCAGAATGATCCTCTCCGATACAGCGCAATTCTTTCAAAGTAACGAAGCAGTACGGACACGGAAATGTAGATGTTGCTGTTTGCATTCCGTTGACTAACAACATTAATTTAAAATCGCAAACCATTTTGAATGAAACATCATTAATTTTCGTTAAATCAAATAAAATTTTCACATTTTCATATGTTTCCTTTATGTCTGGAACGATACCAAGAATAATAGTTCTTTTCACACTCGTCAGTTTTGCTTTGCAACCAGCGGACCCACCCTCAGCGTACAATTTCGTTCTTTTTTTCGATGGTTCTTCGAAGCAATCTTGTTCACATTCTTCAGAAGAATAATCTTCTGGAAGTATGGTTAGGCAAAGTTTGAAAAAATCCCCACCCCCATCTGCCATTAATTTTACGGAGTAAAATCCAATGAATTTTCTTGCTTCTACTACTGCTTCTACTAAATCTGTAGCGTCAGCCCAAATTACAGGCCTCTGCTCTTTTGATTTTGACGTATCAAAAGAAAACGTATCACTTTTATAGAGGTAATCTAACTTTCTTTGCTTCTCTGTAAAATGCTCGGCATATCTTTTAGGAACTGAATTACGGCCTACCTTAGAACGTATGAAATTGGTTAATTTTCTGAGTCCGCGGACTGAAGAATTTGAGTTAACTGCGAAATTGTCTAGATCATCGTTAGAGAACAAGTCATTTTTATTTGAAATAGATTTTGTATAAAGAACTGTCGGTTTACCTCTTTCATTACTCAGCACAATTGACGATTTTTCTGGGACTTCCTTACTTTTTAAGTCTTTCACAACTGAACTAACCACTTGTTCCACTTGCTTTTGAGGTAAATTTTCTAAAATATTTTTTATCGAGGCTACAGACATGCTCTTATCACTGCAAGAATGCATTTTGCCTTTTCCAAATGGTTGATAACATTTACTACACAGTGATATACTTTTCGAAATTTTATCAATTTTAACGGGATTGTTGTCGTCAAATGAAGCAATCGATAATTTACTATTTATTTCTTTTCCGTATTTTCCGTTATGCTCATCAATTATTGTATTAAATTGGCGACCTTCATGACGAGAATATTCTGGTTTTTTGTGATAATTACATCTTGCCGTCAGACAAATGTAACATGTGCAAATTTCAAAAGTTCCCGACCGCGTATCCTTTTTTAGATGAATATCCTCGTAATTTATCCTTGGTGGTAGAGGCCTTTTATTGATACCTTTTTCGTGTTCAACCAAAGTTGTAGAACATGTTGCACAAATACCAATTGGAAATTTACTGTTTTGAGTAGAGAAATCAGGATCGATGAAACATTTTATTCTTTCACAAATTTTATCAGTTATAAGAAAACGATTTGCACTTTTTCCTCCGTATTTGATTTTCTTACCACACGGAGCGCACACTTTCCCTCTATTTTCTTCATGAGTTTTTCCAAGAAACTCAGACATGTTAATAACTATTTTAGAACTAGCTACTTTATAGAATTAAACGAGCGCTACTCAAAAATATTTCACAAATTGATTTAATTAACTACAGCAATTGCCATTTTTAATTTTGACAACTAAACCATAATTTTTTTGTCTAAACACAAAGAAACATTTGACGAACGATACGATCGATATTCGAGACGTTTGTTTGTTTAAAAGACATTAAAAAACATATATATGTATATAATTTTATATTCTACGCTAACTTGCATCGAAAATTTATATAAATATTCAAATATTTTTGAAAAATTAGCTCTTACGATTTTGGTCAAAGTAGCATTTTCATCAGGAAGGTTTGTAGAATCATAAAATAGTAACAGAAAGTTGCCACAAAGAAAGTTGATAATATTTGTCTTCCTGCACGGTGTGAATGCCTATTTTGACATTATTTATTATTTTTACATCATATTTCACTAAATATTTAAATTATTTTGCCTCAAACCAAACTCCGACCAAACTTGGTCAGAGTTCGGTTCACCAAACCCGCTAGGGTAATATAAATATTAACAGGCTATATCAAAGAAATGTAATTACCTCCGGTATCTCCTTCTTCAACAGGATCGGCTTCATTGTCAATTATTTCTGAAATAATATCGATATATATTTTTTCTTTTTTTGCTTAGGGAATTTTGGGAAATCTGCCTACAGATACCTTTGATTTCGCACTCCAAGGTTTGACAGAATTGTGAATTAAATGTATTAGAAATTCATATTTTCAAAGACCCTAATTTGAAACCTTTTCAATATTCAATTATTTATAAAAATTCACGCTATAATGTTTTCAAAATTCAATTATTATTTAAAATTTTTACTGAAATTAAATTTTAAATCAATATTAATTAGAAAATTTTAAAAGAATTCATTTCTTTGAATACAAAAATGAATAATTTATTGAACATTCGAAATTTTTGATGAGTTTCATTAATAATTAAAATAGTTGGATTTTTAATTTAAGCACAATTTTATTATTTACAAAAGAAAATTGATTTTCTGTAAACAATTTCATTAATTAAAAAAATTATGAAATTATTACAAAGAAATTTGTAAAAAAAAATTATTAATTGAATTCCTGTAAAAAATTTTCCAAAATTTAACTTTTTTAAATGTTTTTAACTAAAATTCTCCTATAAGTTCATTATTTTTTAAAATTAATGAAATATATATTTAATATTTAAAAAATTACCAAATTTCGGAAGAATTTGTATTATTTAAATTATTCAAAAATATAAGTTTTTTAAAATTTCTGATTAAATTAACTGAAAATTGAAATTATATAAAATTTCAAATTGAAACCATTTTCACCTGGACCAATTAGATGAATTAGGCCATCATTTTGAATGTTGACTCCCAAGAAGTCGAGATTAGGTTCTACGACAATATATTTTGCGTTGACTATAAATTCTGCCATGGACAATCTTCTTGACTCTAAATTGTTTCATGCGTTGTTCATTCTAGATTCTAGACCTCGATTTTCCACTTTCGAACATTGTATTCCATAATGCCTTCTGCCGGTTATTTTTTCCTTGTCCAGAAAGAGTCGACTCTGCAGTAAAATCACTTTCCTAAAATACGAAATAGTATATGGGTGATTCTCCAAAAAACCTCATTTTGCATGTAATCAAGATTTTCTAAATAATTATAATCATTTGGGAAAATACCAAGTCATATTTCCCTATTTTATCACTTTTTCTAAATGTTCTGCAAGAAAAAGTTGTAAAATTTTATTGTTTAATACATTTTTAAAATATTTTACCACCTCAAAATCGATTTTCTAACCTGTCATCTAAGTGCTTTTCATTTTTTCAATAGGTAAAACAATTATTTAAAACATGAAAATTGGTACTTTATTAATTTTTTCTAAAAGTTATGATATTTAAGAATAATTTTCAAAAATATAAATAAAATATGTCGTGTAGTTTTTTTAAATATAGAAAATGAAATTTGTCATGTAGTACCGCGTCATTCCTCTCACTCGTTGAATATTATCCAATATTTTTGCTGTGGGTAGAGATATTGCTTAATTATTGTGATCAATATTTAAATTAACATCTCTAATATTAATTTCTTAAGTTACTTTTTAAAAAATGTCATTATTTTGCGTTAAAAAAATTAAAATTGAGACATAAGCAGAGATTCACAACCTAAAGCGTCATTCCTCTCACCCCTAATAAAAACAATATTAATATATATAAATTGATCGCAAATTTTTTTCACATAAAGTTATCCTTTATAAACATGATAGGGCATTCTAAGCTGGAGGAAAATTATTTGTCAATTAAATAAAATTAAAAAATGTTGAAATCGTCATTCCTCTCACCCGTCATTCCTCTCACTTTTTTGAATAAAAATTAAAAATTGATATGATTGTCGGTTGTTTACAAACTGCCAGTGAAAAGTGAACCTAAAATGTATGAAAAATAATTTTTGACAATTGTTTAAAGAGATTTTTGATAACTGTAAGTATTTCAAAATCTATAAAATTTACAGATAATATTAATAAATTATAATTTTTAAATAATTTTTTGTAAATAGAAAAATATATATAATAAAAAACGCCGGCGCCAAATTTTAACCTCTTAATTTTTTTGTAAATTTTAATTTAAAATATATACTTTAAAAGCTAAAAGTTAGCATGATCATGCTATAGAGGTGGTAGATTTTTGAAAGCTCAATATAATTGACTGCATTAATCCATAAATAATAATTTTTTTTCTTTTCTGTTTGTAACTCACAAAAAGGAGTATTTCGGGAGAATCACCCATATAGGTAAATTATTGTTGATTAACTCTTCATCACCCAAAATTTTTAATAAAAACTGCAGACTTCGCACTCGATAATTCATTTTAAAGAAATAGCAAAAAGTATCTTTCAAACTAAAAAAAAGTAGTAAAAGAGTAAATATCAAAAAAATTAACTTGACGACCAAATTCTATATTTCAATTTCCTGACTTCTTCCTAATTTTCATCAAAAATATTTACTTCTTTCTTGTCCTGCTAATAAATTTAAAAGAATTTAAAAATTTTATTGAAAAAAAGCTAAAAATTTTTTTTACAGAATTTACATAAGGAGGGATTTTTGCAAAAGAGCCTAACGAGTCAGAAAAATGTAGTCTGAGTCGAATTTGATAATTAGAAAAAAAGTTGTAACAATATAAAGATGGCTATCTGTTAGTTCACTTTTTGTAGACTAAAAATTGACCATTGTTATACCCATTTCTGGCCATTTATGAGGCTTGTGACGTCATTTTCCTAAATTTTTTGAAAATTTTAAAAATCCATAACTTTTTAACTAGACTTTTTTCAAATCCTTTTAACTGGAGCATTTCTAGAGGCCACTCTACGTGAATTAAAAATAAAAAAAATTTTTTTTTATCACGCTGTCGAAAAGAATTTGACTTTCTAAATAAATCAACAGTATAGACGCACAGAATGGGCCAATTGGCATAAATAGAGACAAAGTTAGGGTAAATATTGAAAAAAATGTTATAAAAAAAATAAGTTTCCATATCTTGCATGAAAAAAATGCAAAAAAATTTTTAATTGTGACGTTCCTATAAATCTGAGTTTCTATACTTTCTTAGAATGTAAATCCAGATAATGGGCAAAATCGAATAATTATGGACAAAGTTAGAGCAATTTGAATTTTTAATTGTGACGTTCCTATAAATCTGAGTTTCTATACTTTCTTAGAATGTAAATCCAGATAATGGGCAAAATCGAATAATTATGGACAAAGTTAGAGCAATTTGAATTTTGACTTTTGAAAAAAATGCAATTTTTAAAATGTTTTTTGCAAAAAAAATAAAAAAATTTTGTTATAGAATTTTCATAAAAAAGGATTTTTGCAGAAGAACCTAACGAGTTGATTAAATCAACTGTTGATTAAAATTGATCATAGAAAAAATGCTTAATTTTTGTCATGTTTTTCAAAAGAAACAAAGAAATAATTTTTTCTCTTTATTCGCACAAAGAGATTTCTTTGTAGTCTGAGACGATAGTTCATGAAAAGAATTGAATTTTTACAAAGATGTTTACAAAATTTTTTTTAAATAATTGAATTTTGCTTGGAAATTTTATGAAAATAGTAGATATTGAAGTAATTAAATTTTACAAAAAAAATTCTATTAAAATTTATGAGAATAATTAAATGTCTGTGTGGCATTTTATTAAATTTTTTGAAAATAATTGAATTCTTGGGAGCGCGTCACATATAATATAAAAATAAAAAATATCAACAATTTATTTCAAGTTTTTAAAATAATCGTGTTTTTTAATAATTAAAATGAAACACTTAATAATTGAATTTTATTAAAATTTCTAGAAAATTATTGATTATGTCGATTTTTTAACATATAATTATAATTAATAATTATACTGCAAACAATTATTAAAATTTTTGCTAGAAAATTAAACTCTTTAAATTTTAATTGAATTTGTTTGAAAAATTTTGTAACGAATTAAGAAAAAAAGTGTATTGTTTTGAAGAATTTATTAAAATTTCAGGAAATAATTAAAAACTGAAATTTACGCGATTCACATACGTCAAATTTATTTTTGAAAAAAAGTATTTTATAAAATTCCCTGACATTTTCAGGTTTTCTCTGACCGAGAAAAAATTCTCTGACAATTCCAGGTTTTCAAGGTTTTCCCTGACCGTAGCAACTCTATAATAGAGTATACGAAAAGTATTAGTGTAAATTTTCTGAACTTAATAATCAATATATAATACTTACTTGTGAAACTCCAAATTTCTACAAAGCTACCAATTCTTGATGCTATACAGTTTCTATATGGCTGGAAGACGTTGATGATGCGACGAAATTGACGATTTACTGATAAACGATGCGGTTGTACGCCTTGCAACCACGTGGTCGAAACGTAGTCTATAAAATTATTAACACCTTCATTTTCGGTGTTAACGTTAATTCGAATGTGATTTAACGCAATTCTAATTCGTTCTCTCGGCAGCAACGGTAAGGCCATTAGCGAAAGAACTGTCGTCCGAATTTCATCATCTTCTTCCCAATCTCTTTTCAGTCCAAGTTGATGAGCTTTCTTATAGAGTTCCTTGGAAAGAAGAGTAAAGAATAACAATATTAAAGATTTTATAACCAGTTTCATAATAAGAGATTTAGAAGAAAAAAATTTTAGGAGCCTGTTATGATTTATGAAATGACTATAATGGAACACATAAATATCCTGTAAAAATTGTTATTTCGGAATTCATAAATCCGAATTTCTATTCAACTGAATTTTATAAAATAGAATTTAAGTGAAACCATATTTTTATACTTTTCACAGCATAGAATATCTCATTTTCATTCCATGTTATAACTCGTGAGTTTCTCTTGTTTTGTTATAGAATAACATTGTTTCCAAAAAGAAATCTAATTGTTCATTAATAAACGGAAACATTTTTAACAACTTTAAATGTTATTTCTTTACCTCAAGTCACACTGTGAACTGTCAATAACATATTTTGTATTTAAATGAAATTGGTGATTTGAAGAAAGCTATTACTTTGATTTAATCTCTTTTTCGTATTTGAAAATAACCTTTTTGATAACCAACTTCAAAACAATAGTCAATTAAATCCAAATTCTCGTAAATAAATATTTAAATAAATAAACATTTGATGACAGGAACGATTTTGTAAAATTGATATTCTCTTGGATAGAAATTATGATATTCATACGTTCTATGAAATAGAAATTTTGTTAACTAAAGATTTCAGCGAAGAGCAGGCTCGGTCAACTCCACTAGAAAATATGGCGAATTTAATTTCAGATTAGTTCGGGGTCTCTCACAGGTAGCGCTGCTATCTTGAGGGCGAGGGGAAAGTCGACGTAAGTGGAACGCGACGGTCGCCATGTGACAACCGGCTGTTTATGTTTATAGCTTGAATTAGTGTCAATTAGTGTTTATAATATAATTTCAATTTGACATTTTGTCAATTTGAATGAAGAATTTAAATAGTAGTGTATAATTAATTTATACACTTAATTAAATTAAATTTAAGTACCTTATCACATGCTGTGAGTGTTGTTTGATTAAAATTATGTCGGAGGTTAACCTCGAAATCGACAACAGGAAGTGTGTTGTTCCCGGATGTGATTCGGTCAAGAATAATACGAATAAGCACTTTGGACATCGTATTCCAATAAAAGCATCGATTCGATCCAAATGGATGGATGCCATTAAACACGCAGGTTTAAGAACTTTGCCTGACAAGGAAATTTCAAGAAGGCGATTATTTGTCTGCAGAAAACATATCTCTCCTGAGTCTGTTTTTACAACGCAAAACGATTCCTTGCGATTAAGAAACGATGCAGTACCGACATTATATTTACCCGAAGATGTCACATTGGAGAATATACCTCTTGACATAGATAATGGATTGTGTTTGCCAAGTTCTCTGTGCGAAAGTCAAAGTGTTACATCACCATGGTTTAGGAAACTAACTGAAATCGAATTGCATAAATTCGACAGTGAATTTAGAGAAATTAATCCACCGGTGTTAACGAATGTGAGATATAAATTTAATTCTGACGATTTCACTAGTTCTTTTTAGTCCATTTATTTTTCTTTTCTTTTTCTTTTTTTTGTTCAATTATTATTAATTATTCAATCAATAAATATAAAATAAATATACAGTAAAATTATATATAAGAACAATTTAAAAAATTTTATTTTCGAATTTTTCTGTAAATATTTGTTTAAAATATAGAATTAAAAAAATATTATATATATATAAATTAATATTAATATAATAATAAAAATAACAATAATAATAAAAAAATAATTTTTTTATGTAGGAAACTTTAGAAATTCCTCTGTCAGCAGAACTGAATAATCCGTCAGTTGAGAATCCTGTCAGAGTGTCAACTCCTGTTTTACAAATTCCTCTGCCAGCAGAACTGAATAATCGTTCAGTAGAAAATCCTGTCAGAGTGACAACTCCTGTTGAGGATTCTGCAAAACAGGACTTCACATCTACTCCAAAAAGTCCGAAAAGCAGACCTAACAATCGGTCACGTTGGAGGCAGAGTGATCTGGATTCTCCACGTAAACGTAAGCTCTACGATGAATTGCAGAACAAACGGGAAGTGGTATACAACATGTCAAAGAAATTTAAGAGGTATCATGTTATGAAAATCGGATTTTACTCAATTGCAATCTACGATGACTATGGCACACATTGCTTGTATGTAAATGCTAGTTAAAAAATTATATCTTTGTAGAAATATTAAATTATATTGTAGTAAATTTATTCACATTGAAAGTAGTTTAAAATAGTATTGTGCTTATTAATTTATTTAATATGAAAAGATTTATATCATCAAAGTTATGATTTTTATATAAATTAAATATATTTTTTCAAAAATATAAATAGTTTTTAAAATCTATTTACTTATTCACAATAAAAAAAAATTAATTTGGCAATTAAAATTGCAATTTATGACACAAGTATTTTATAGTCAGCTGTACATAAAAAATTTTAAAGCCTTTAAAAGTAAATTATTTAAATAAATACTATTAATTTAAATAATAATAAATATGTATACCATTGCTGCGCACTTGTGTCAGTTCCTGTGCTCCAATCGCTGTCTTTAAAATAAAGTGTTTTCATAGGCAATTTTGATGACCATAATGAGAGCACTTGTATTCAATGAAAATGTGCAATTACTACGCAAAGCAATATTGGATTTTAAATAATTTAATAAATAATAGTTCAATTGGTCAGTTTTATAAACAATTTTGTTAAAATAATTGTATTTCAATATTTATAAAATAATCTTTTAAAACATTTTTAAACATATATATGCTTCGAAGAAATAAAATTAGTACACTTATACAACTTATTTTTATTAGACTTTTTCTACTTTTACCAAAGAAGCATGAATTTTTTTCTTTAAAATGAATAAAAATATAGGTTTTGATGATATACAATCTACTTTGCTTTTTATGAATAAAATTATATACAGGCCAGAAAATTGTTAGCTGTAAGTTAATTGTATCAACGCTATACTAGTACTGTTCGTCTATATTTATATTTTGTCATAATTCTGTAATTAATTGATGCGATCATTGCAAAATATTTTTCCATGCTTAAAAATTCTTTTTAGATACTATGATAATAAACGTTACTTTAATAAGAACTTGATGTAAATGTTTATTCACTTTGATGAAACCCCTTCCTCTTCGGCATAGGTACGAAAGAAAATTAAAGAATCCCAGTGAATGTTGTTCTTCTAAAAAATTCCATAAGATTTTCAATAAATTGTCTTTCACTCAACAAAGTTTCATAAACATGATAATTAGAAACAGCGATCGGAATTTAACTGGTAGGAGATACACTCCAGAAGAAGAAATTCTATGTCTCTCAATTTACAAGAGTTCTGCAAAGTGCTATAGATATTTAAGAAGTTTTCTCCCTTTACCAAGCATGACAACGCTAAAAAAATTGTTAAAGAATGCTTATAGATTCTGGCGACACTATTCCTATATCTTTTAACTTTTGCGAGCAACAAACCAAGACACCTCAATTGTTATACTGCATTAAGGAAATTATTGGAGTCGTTAAAGATGCTGGTTTAAATGTCGTGGCTACAGTTTGCGATTTAGGATCGAGTAATCAGTCAGCAATCAATACATTGATTCAAGACACAATCAAAGTAAAAGGTCAAGATTACTTTGATACTCGTAAGTGTTATATTCTTTATATTATTTCATAATTAACTTCCGAGCGATAAACAATATTGAAAAAAAATTATTCTTAGCACTTATTAAATTTACAAATCTTTATATTCAACTAAACAAATTAAAAATATTTTTTAATTAAAATAATTAAAATTATTTTACAGGTGGAAAATTTGTAGTTCATGAAGTTGAAATAATTCCCTTGTTTGATGCACCGCATTTAATTAAAGGACTACGTAACAATTTACTCAACAAGAACTTGGAATTTGATTTCCATGCGAAAAAAGAGGAGAAAAATAGAACTTTTGCTAACTGGGACCATATAATAACTGCGTATGAAATTGATGTTCACGGACTTCAAAAGCAGCGATTTCTCCCGAAATTGACAGAACGACACATTTATCCGAACAAGATAAAAAAAATGAGCGTTAAAAACGCTATTCAAACTTTAAGTTTGTCTGTTGCCAGCCGCATCGAAGGACTTGCCGGAGGAGCTGGTATTTTTTCTATTTTTCACAAAAAATATACTCAGTAAAATACACATACACACTAAAAAAGAGAACGATTTGCAGCACATTTTGGAGTAACGTTGCTCTACTCAGTCCTGAGTTATGCAACATACTTTTACATATTTTTATATATGTATAGCTTTATAATATATATACATCTTTTCCAGAACGGAATACTTCATTGGGTCCACGAAAAATGCCTTCTGAAGCCAAAAACACTGCATGGTTCTTGTGTTTCTGCAATAAATTGGCCGACGCGTTTAAGGGGATCCCACATACCGACAATGCAGATCAAAAATGGTTAAAAATCTGCAACGACCGTTTCTTGGAAAATATAAGATATTATTACCTATAAATTTGGAAAACTCACTTTTTATCATGGATACACAGGATGAGTATTTTATTTGTTGTAATTATTAAAAAAAATATATTGTTAGAAAATTAAATATGGTCAGTTTCCAAGAGCCCAAACTGCAACGACCTTTTCTTGAAAACAACAAAACAAAATAATTTTCCCATTTAGCAAACTTAATTTTAATAAAAAATACACATAATAAGATTCATTACATATGAAAACAACAATAAAAAACTTTAATTTATGTAAACTGTTTTGTATAGCAATTTACAACAAGAAGAACACATGTGACAGCTTTTAGTAGTTCATAGAACCAAGAGATGGCGCCAAAGGTTCCAAAACTGACAAATTTTGATTATTTTTAGCTTTAAATTAACAACAATAAAATATAATGTTTTCTTTTTGAGTAAAAATTCATTAGTGATGAAAGACACACAATGAGAGAGATTTATTTTGTTCAAATTGTTAAAGAAAAGTTAATGCTAGTAAATTAAATATCAAGTGCTACCGAACAGCTGTCACATATACACTTTACAAAAAATAAAGTTTTTATTTATTCCTGAATGGCAAATGAGTCTCATCCTCC